ATTGCCCTAAGTATGGACTTAGCTACTTATAATGAAATAAACAACAAAATAATTGTAAAGAAATCTAAATCCATTCGAAATAGAAAAACAAACTAAAGGAATCCAAAGGAAAAAAAAAAAAAGATAAGAAGAGTTCTTGTTCCCAAGATGTGCCCTCAATCACTTGCTCAAATGACACAAAGATATCTTAAATCTTCACCAATAATCTTCACTCTTGAACGACTCCCAAAGTTGTTACAAGTTGCCTAGGTAAAAGTATCGAAGTCCAAAGGTTTTCGAGAGAAAAATGTGTCTTTCAAGTGTGTAAGGCCTCTATATAGAGTGTAGAATCCACAAAAGATCATGATTTGTCCTCCTAAAGATATGTTTTATCTATAACAAAAACATCAATTATCAATAGAGAAAAATATGATTTTTTGTTGCCAGATTTAAATTTTAGATTCAAATTTAAAATCTAAAATTGATTTCAAATTCAAAATTCAATTTTAGGTTCACTTTCACAGGCCCTTGAAAATCTATCAATTAATTACACCAGAAGTTAAGCATGACTATACATGCCCTCCAACATGGTCGTGCATACTCAAGAAGCACTTTCATAATGATTGCGAAACAAGGTCATGCTTCTTGTTAAGCGTGACTTTACTTTCTATCAAATTTTATCCAATTGAGACAAAAAAAGCATCAATATGGCACTGATAATTTTTTTATGCTAAAATATAAAAAATAATAAGTAAATTAGTGAAAAATTCTTATCAAATAAAGGTTAAGCATATAAAAATAAGTCACGAAAACATCCCAATATGGACTTATCACCTCTCCTTGATTTCTCCTCCTTAATGCTTAATTTACCATTTTTGAAGTCAAATATATTTTTCCAAATTTGCAAAAACCAACTTTTATTCGTCTTAAAACAAAATTGTTTCTTTTTTTCTTTTGTAAAATAAGATAAAAAAAAATAACAATAAAAAATTAGAACTTTGTTTTGTTTTGTTTTGTTTTCTATGCTTTTGGGCAAAAATTGGGAGCAAAGAGATTAAAACTTCAAGAACTTGAGAGAAAGACCTCTCGTGGAGATTTTTCCTCAACTCTTTGTATATGTTTCTCTGTTCATGACTTCTTATTTTTCTTTTAGTTCTGTCCATTGTAAGCTATCTTCTATAACTTGTAACTAAACCCTTTGTCAAGGGTGATTTATAAAGGCTATGTGTTTGATATTATGTTAATATGAATAAATTTATGTCTTATTCTCATTTGATAGTGATCATTGCATTTTAGTTTATTTATCTTGAATTGCTTAATCACCAATTTAGGATTATAGGAGTTTTTACAAATTTGAGGAAAGGAGTAAGTGTTATACTTATGAATGCAATTCTATGAGTTGGATGACACCTAGAGATAGACAAACATGATTCATGTTAAGAGATTAGGTCCTTGACTTTGCTTGAGTGACATTAAATGATCTTGAGAAAGACTTTATTCATGTGATGACCCTACCTCCGCTTAATTAAAACTGGACAAGATATATTGATGTTTATGTTGCATTTATTTAATATATAGTTGAAGTAAATCACCTAACATTTAACTCCATTAATTCTTATATTGCGTTTACATTATTTTAGCATTTAGCCTTTATTCTTTTTGATGTCTTCTCTTTTCAATTGTTCAAATTGACATCTAATTATAATTGGCATTTGAATTACCCATGTGGGTATAACAACTCTTATTTTATTCTATTAATTGACAAATTAGTATGCTTGCTAGTATTATTCTCCTTTAGAAGCAATCAATTTACTATTGATATGTGTCTACTAACTCATTGGTGGATGTCTCATAGAGAAGAGCATTATGAGCTTCAAAGATTTGTTATTCAAATACTAAACTTAACATGAAGTTTATCTAAGTGTAAACATAACTTTAGTGCCCTTGAGATGGTAAGTAGAGATTATTTTTCTAAAATTATGTACTAGCCAACTATTTTTTTTTATATCTTAAATTATAATTTAATATATTAATATTTGTTTAAGTGCATACTAAAAGAAGAAACTGTTTGAAGCAAAATACAATTAATGATATTGTATTTGTTATGACAAATTCAAAATTGGTTAAGAAGAGGATAGCTAGGAGAGTGAAGAATCTTGAAATAAATGTAAATGATATTCCATCTAACAAGCGAGTAGTGAAAAATATGATGTAGGAAACTATGAAGATTCGGGCTTAGAAGACAATTTGGAGGATGATGACATTTAGGAGGATTAGCTCTAAATAGAGATGATGATTTTGATTTAGACCAAGGTTCAAATCAACATGTTGGTGATGTTCCTAATATCGACAATTTAGATGGTGATGAAAATGATGGACCAAATGAAGATGAAATTAATTTTGACATTTTTTATTAAAATATTTTAGATGTGATAAAATAGATATCTAAAGTTTGAACTTTTAAAGTATTTTGTATTTAGTTTGGATTATGTTTAAGTTTCTTTAATGTCTTTATTTTATTCCTATTTATACTATTTTATATGCATATATAATTTTGTAGGATCTTACAATCCTATGAATTAGGATCCTTGACCCCTTTTCGATATTAGATTTTTCTTAATTAGGTTTGATTTAATTTGTTTTAAAGAAATAATCACTTATTTCTATAAGTTATTGAAAAAGTTTTTTTAAAAAGTAAGTGATTATTTCTTTAAAAAAAATCAACTTGCTTATATGCAATTTGGGTTTTGTAACTTGTAAGAAGTGAAACCAAATCCCATATAAATATTGTATTAAATTTCAAACTCTTCCCTCCCCAACAATTTGATTTCTTAGAAGTGTGACACAACAATCACAAGAAAATTGGATGTTTGGTAGGTTATGGTTTGAAAAAATTAAGTCAGGTTCATTGCCAGTGACATTATGAAGAAGTAAATAAATTGAACAGCACTTATTTACAAGAACAAATACAGAATTGTGTTTTGGACAAAAAAAAAAAAAAAAGTAATCATGTGACTCATACTATTTTGCTGCATGTGAACTTATATACAACTATTAAGCATGTATGAAGAATAAATTTCGGGCATTAGTAACCTTCACACCCATGATAAGGTGGAAACAGAAACAAGGTTACAACCCAACAAAACCTATTATTGGTAATTATTAAAGTCTAATATAGCATTCTTCTGCCTTGACCTTGACTCATCTCAATCAGTGAATGAATGCCATCAAGATAGGCTTAGCTGCTGATCGAGGCCACATAAAAAATTGGCTGGATACTTCTATATTTGCATGCAAAACACTTCCACTGTGGTAAAATTCTCCAAGGATGTCAAGTTTCTCAAATGTGACTGAAGTTCTCTAGCAACCTCTTCAGTTGATGGATGGCCAAAACCACAGTGAATCAGTTTGGTTGCTGTACTCAGAAAATAGAAGTTTATTAGAAAAGTAGAGTTTGAACTCCAAGTTGGTGTTATCAGACATGAGAATCTAGGGGTGGTGGAGGATAAGTACATATTGGTCTAAACCAAAAAAATTGCATTGTATATTATCAACGGAGGTAAAATATCACATGCAGAATATGCACTTGTGCTACAAAACCTCAAGCTTCTGAGGTAAATAATTGGTTTTGTGCATGCTTAGTCCAACGAAAACTTGCAAATATCTTTATTGTTCAATGCACAAGGGTCATCATTCATGTGATGATGTTTATGTTCAGAATATGTTTATTACAAAGAACCTCTGAACTTAAGGTAAATTACATTCACCCCCCTTAGGTTTGACAAAATTTCACCCGATACCCATAGTTTTTTTAACATTACCACGATCTCCTGTGATTTGTATAACGGCATAAGAAATCAAGGGTGGTTTGTATAATTGAGAAGGTACAGTCTTATGCTATTACATAAATTAAGGGAGTTTTTTTTTTTAAGGTAATAAAATGGAGGCGTATTAAGTGAAATTTTGTTAAATCTTAACGGGTTTGAGTGTAATCTGTGCTTGAACTTATTAGTAACATATTTTCCAATTCAGATGATCTAAAACAGTTGCACCATCTTTCCATATGAATACGGTTCAATAATAAAGTAGTTAGTATAAAAAACCACAACAGATGTAGAGAGTTAGGAACCTCAAACAATTATGAAAAGACATAAGGGGGAGGGACCAGTAGTAAAGATTCTGTTTGCTGCAAATAAGGGGTCTAGAAGATAACCTTAGATAGCAATGATTCAACCAAAAATAAAAGCTACATGCTGAATCTATTATGCAATTCAAGTATTATCTAAACTAAAATTTCAAAATCATGAACCGCAAACAGGTTTTTCAGATTTGATGCAAAATTCAAGTATTTTAATGACATCTATGAAATTTTTCATCAACTCATTTGCCGATTTAAGTGAGCTAAAAATGTTTATAGTTGTATGTTACAAGAATTAAGCATTAAATAAAAACCCCAAGAAAGAAGCAGAGACACTCGTAGATGATACATGTAGAACACACAGGATTCTTCAATCCCAAGCAAATTACTTAGCTTCTATGTTTGGATGTCAAAACTACCAGCGTTGACTAGCTGGTCAATCTGAATTTGACTTAACAGACGACGCAGAAGATAGGAGAAAACTGCTGCTAGATTCTATATTAAGAAATTCTTTGGATTAAACAGCATAAACTTTAAATACTATCCAATCAAATTATCAAAAAAGAAAAATGTGAGGTTGTTTTCACCAGTGAAAAATGTCAAGAATATTAACTCTTGATATGTTATGGTAAGTTTTGGCGCACCCATTTTCAAAATTTTTGGGTGACTCTTACATACACAGCACATGAAAAATTGTAGACTGAAAAGATATGAAGCTTGGGGGCTTAAAGATATAAAACAGAAAAGCATTTTTGGGTGAGCATTACAATTTTTCTCTTTAGAAAGTTACTAAAGTTTCTAGTTGGCCATCAAAAGGTGAAACTATCACAAGGAATTCATGCAACAAGAACGCTAAAATTATATAAATAAATAAATGTTTCAGCTATGTGAGGCCAAAATGCAGTTTAGTGGTACTTGCCTGGGCGTACAAATGCTCATCAAACATAGTAACAGCACAAGGCCCTGATGTGGAAGCCCAACCATGGTGATTAGAATCAAAACCAGTACTAGGGGCTTCAAAACTTCCATTGACATGATAATCTACTGGGTTTTCTTGTGGACTGATCTCTGCAGATGGTTGGAACTTCAAATTATTCAGTAAATTAAAATTGTATGGCAGATATGGAAACTGCCCATTCAATTGTAGTCTCAGAGGGGCTGTACTGCTCATGTCACTAAGGACACCATTTTCTTGGCCAGAGTTAGAAATCTCAGTTTTGCTACTTGAGCCAAGATAACTGGCATAACTCCCAAAAGATGAACTTGCAGATCCTTCCACATCTCTGAGAAATTGGCAAATAAGTGGTGTTACATACACTTAGCTCAGAAGATCAATTTAATATCTATGAAATATTATCATCATCACCTACTGTATGTCTGTTGTTCAAAATCATATACAGAAGAGAGAATCATTTTGATTAAACCATTGTTTGTTCTAATTGAATAATTGAATTTGATATCATAAAATAATTACCTTATATCCTAGCAATAATGATTAATGACTATGTGAATAGGTTAAGCAAACCCAGAAGACTGTCGAAGATTAAGTATTGAAGCATTGAATATGGTTTTACTTAAGAAAATTAACTCACTTGTGGATAAACAAGTTTGAGTCCTCTGGTAAAACTATATTTTGGCTGTCACCATTAGCAATCCATGATAGAGGTTGGAGATGCTGCTCTGCACTCATTCTGAAGGGAATATTCATTTCACTAAACTGGAATATAAAGAGATATTTAGTCAGTTATCTAATGTCTACTCTATAGAAATCAATTTGACAAAAGTAAACAAGTTACCAGCTAAGAAATATTTTACCTGGTTATTGCACTGCAATGGCACAAGTTGCTGCTTATGTATATTTTCCTGCCACATGAGGGAGAATTTTAAACATGAAATAGAATAAAAAGTTTTAAATAATGCATTGTTGAGGATAGAATTGCTTTCTACAATGCTTTGATCAAATAAATAACATGTTCATCAGGTTCTATGATCTTTGGAGGGTTGTGAATTGAAAAATATATTTATGCAGTCTCTTTTACTACTTTAATTGCCTGGCCATTTTTTCTTACTCATTAATAACACTTCTATGCATGATTCATTAACAACTACACGGATTAGTAATGTGTGCTCTCCCTGATTCCCTTGACATGATCTAGCTATAATATTAGATCCTTGCAGCAAATTTATAATCCACATAGGCAAGATAGCAACCATATAAAACAAATAATTTTTTTAGAATTCATCAATTATAGATCATAAAAAAAAGCTTAAATATGTTTTTAAGCCCACATTTTAGTTATTTTTTATTTTAGTTCCAACAAACTTTTTTGGTCTTAGTCTCTATATTTTAGCAAATTATTAATGTTAGTCCTTATGTTCCAATTAAAAATTAACATTTTACAGCATTTTAGTAAATTAAATTAGCAATAGGAACTAAATATAAAAATTCGTTAAAATATGAGTGGTAAAAATATATTTAAGTTGTATGTTGTGGTACTTCAAAAATTTTTTATGAGTACCGTACCCAAAAAATTTATACCAATAAAAAAGAAATATGTGACAAGTTAAAAAAATATATTATTATACATAATTTATTTAAAATTATATTATTTGTTACATGATCCTATTATATATATATATACATATATTGTATATTAATTTTTTTATTTTTTATTATTTTTTTAATAAATTTTTAGTTTTAAATAAAATATAATTTTTATTTAAGTAATTTCTATTTATTATAAATAAAAATAATTATAAATAATATATTAATTTAATAATAAAATATTAATAATAATAAAATTTAAAATATAAAAATATATAATATAAGATTATAATTTTATTTTTAAATTTTAATTTTAACTTAAATACTCTTCAAATTATTAAAATGTAATAAATATAATAATTTATTATTAAATAAATTTATTATTTAATACGTGTGATTAAAAATTTTCATGAATGGTACTCTAAAAATTTACCTATATATTTAATCTTAAAGAAAATTATCAACTACCTTCAGAACCACGATGATAAACTGAATCAAAACAAACCTTTGAAAAGAAGGTCATGTATTGGATAATAAGATGCACACCTTACGAGTTCGAATTTGATTAAGTGACTCCCTAAGTGAATTTTCCATCTGTCCCAGTTGTTCCACACTGCTTATTTTATCAAACTCAGTCCAATGACTGCGTAATCCAACAACAAAGAAATTTTGTAAGAGTAGTTTGGAGCCATAGAACAGTCAAAAGTTTATGATGATCAGGCTGAAGAAGAAATGATTCACCTTAATCTCTTATTAATTTCAGAAATTTGAGTCTGCAATAGCCTGGCTTGATTACCCAAGTCCTGCACAAAGTCAGTTCCTGATTTATGACAACGACATCATAAATGAACAAAGTAATTGAGATTATTTAGTTGCGTGGTTACCTCAATAGTTTGACTACTGTAACAAAAAGAAAAAATGAATTATGCTTTAGTGTCTTCACTTATATAAATTATTAATTCTCTTAGAAGAACAATCACTGTATTAGTCACATGGCATACCTTGTACCCAGAAATTCTTGTATATTTACATCATGATCTAACTTCTTGAATGTTTTCTTCAGTGCCTAAATTTTCAGATGGAAACAATTCATTAATAAAAATAATGGTAATTTGAACAATCAGTGCTTTCAAAAGGAGAAAAAGAACAATGTATATTTTGGAATGGATTATGGAGATTGAGTTGGTAAGGAAAGACATACCTCAAGACTCTCCAACTTCCTGGAATTCATTGGAAAACATTTTGTTAAATTCTTGTATTACCAGGACTAAATACATTTTGTGTGTGTGTGAAAGGACTTTAACTGCACCTTTTTGCCCTTTCCTGTGGAGTTACTTGAGCAAACTTTGCAATAACCTCCTCTAAGTTACTACATCCACGAAAGAAGGGGAGTGAATTATTAGATCGATAGTAATTTTATAAAATAATATATAATTATATTCTAACAATTGCTCGAAAATAAGGACATTAGAAAAGGAAAAGTTTCAACAAACAAGTGTCAGTATGTAACTCTACATAATGACAAGTTGACTAAACAAATACACAATTATGTTAAGCTGGGAATGCTTGTAAAGGGATTTCAGGAAAAATACCGTTTCATATTGATTTACGTATATCTATTATCGGTAATTAAAGTGGTTTCAGGAATGAAAGAAGCGATTGAGGAACATGGCATGAAATTTCATAAAAACTTTCAAGGAAGGTACTGTGAAGAATGTTCTCACTATCATTGATGTCGGAGCCAACATTTTTATCATTTGAGAGTCAGAATAATGGCTTGCAAAGCATTATGACCCTCAAACTAACATCATTGTCATTATCACAGTGTGTAGAAGTTATAAATGGTGTAAAAACGCATTTGGACATTTAAAACTTCGATTCTTCCTCCGAAGTTTTCACACTACAAGGTTAGTGGAGCTTCAGCGTTGAAGAATCAAATTGTAAATTCATTAAATCCTAAATGAATTTCTTTCTTTCTTCTTCTTATTCTTCTTGTTTTCTTTTCTTTTATCATATGTACTTAGTTCTTTAAGCTAGAGGATGACAAATCTCAATATGAACTTCATGTAAATTACATTTATTTTTAATTTAATTTTCTTTCTCTTAATTATATATTTTATTGTATTCTTAATACTTTTATGGATCAATTAACCACTAATTGATGTTAGATTTCCTTTCACAATTGAAAAATTGGCTAGTAATTTGGATCTTAGAGTAATTCAACATAGTTGTTAATATCTTAGATATAGGAATTAATAATTATGTGATCCTATAAAATCTTAAAGCTAATGCTTGTTTCAATTAAAAAAATTTGAGAAATCAATATTTTTAATTTGGAAGGAACAATTTATCAAAGAATTAAAGTTAGCTTAATCTAGTGAATTAGATCTTTAATAGAATGTTAGCACTTGAGTTGAGAGGGGAATCGATTGCTTGAAGTGAGGTTTTAGAGGATCCTACTCTAATTCTTTTGGATTCTTGAATTTTACAATTTTATATTGTTATACTTTGTTTTTCTTTAATTTGTGATTTTTATAATAACTACATGCATCATCTCAAGACCAAGTCCAAATATTAATAATTTTGCAGCCATAGTTGAGTTCACTTTTCATAAAAAGAAAAGATACTAGTACTTTCACTTTGTCGCATGACACAACTCCTGTGTACTTGCCAAATTTTCGTTACCAATTTCTAGCTTAGAATTTCATATTTATTTAGTGAACATGATAAAATGTCTTTTTCTATCGTATCCAATTTTTTACCTTTGTTGAACTAACAAAATATAATAAATATATCCTATGACTCTATTCAAGAAGGTGAGGACGGACTAGGTTAGAAATCACATATACACTTTTGTCATTTTAATTTGCATTAAATGTAAAACAATGAAGAGTGCATCCTACTCTAATACTATTCTATTTTTATCTAACCCATATCATTTTCTACCTTATCAAATTTTCAAATTCCCAACAATTGAAATATTTTGGGATGAACTGAAAAATCTAGCATAAATTATATTTATCAGGACAAACCATAATCAAACTAAATCATATAATTCATAGGAAACTTAAAGACAACTCTCATTCATCTTAATAACCCCCCTTTTTTTTTTGTCAAATCTTAATAACTCTCTTGATTACTAAATAAAAAGATTAAAAGGCCCCTCCTTTTTCTTTTCTGATCAGAAAAAGAGATTTTTTTTTCGTTGCTTTTTGGTCTGAATCTAGAAAGCAGGTAATGTCTCTATTCTTAGGGCCCAAATTTCCAGCCAAACGGTTCAAGAGAGCTACAAAATGGAAAGGGGCAGCATGGGTTTTAGATATCCAGATTCTAGGGAGTTTTAACCAATCATCTTAACTATTATTTTTTCAGTCAAACTAACATCCATATCCTGCTCTAGTCATACCTAGGGATGTAATTATGACGACACAAATTGAATGGTAGGCTAAGTAATCACAAACGTAGTTTACCTGCGCCTCCCAATGCAAAGTGAAGGTTTTCCATTTGGCGAGAACATGAGAAGTATAATATCTATATCGCACAATATGGATAACTCAGTAGCTTTTTTCATAATTCCATTCTTCCTTTTCGCATATGTTGCTTGGCGGCCATTGGTGTTCTCCAACCTCTTTATCTTTAGCTTTACTCTACCCATCCTGCACATTATATATAAATATAGTTATTAACCATAATGGCCTTAATTATCCCTTACAAAACCATTCCAAAATAGTCTCACAAGAACGCTTGCATTGCTTGTATCTAAAAATTTTAATGCACCCCATTTTGCAGAATTATATTCACTTTGACAAACAAGCACATGCACATGCACTCGCCGCAGAAACATTAAAATGATCCACTCACGCTCAAGACCAATCAAGAACTGAAATTATAACAATAAAAAAAATGGAATTAAATTGGTCAACAATGACAACACGCAATTGCGTGATTCTTACCCTTCTATCAACAAAGAACGTGAACAATTTAGAAAGAGCTAACAAGAAAAATACAAAATACAAGGAAGAACAGAAACTCACGCAAACGATGAAGTATAATATGTAACTAAAAGGGTTCGTGTAGAATTCAGGTTGGTTGTCAATGGCAGATTCAGAGAGAGAGAGAGAGAAAGAGAGAGAAAGCTTATAGCTTACGTAAACACGTTGGGGTCACCGGCAAATTCGGTCAGCATGCGAGAGAATCGGGTGCTGAAGAGCGTTAGAGATTTCATTTCATTTGTCACACCAACTATTACCAAAGAAAACAATACAAACATAATCATATTCGTACACTTTGGGTCCTGTGCTATGCCCTTTCGAACAATGCAAAATACTTTGCAACTTTACATCGTACCATACAAAAATATGTCAGTGCATCTTGAAATAAAAAAGTAAATTAATTTTAAAATATGAAATAATTTTAAATAATTGTTTATCAATTTAATAATAATAGAATTAATAAAATTAAGATAAAATTCTAGAAATAATAAATTAAGATAATAATAAAAGTAATAATATATTGCATCTTAAAAAATACTAATAAATAAATATGTGATTTTTTAATTTTTTTGTGATACATATTATTAGTTATTTTAAAATAAATTATAATAAATAAATATCATACGGTAATAATTATAATATATTTTAAAAGATAAATAAATAAATATTAGCGTACCTAGAATATTAACATTATTACATGAAAACTTTTCTAAAATTCTCTAAATTAATTAACAAAATTAATGATGATGTTAACAAATATTTCAATTACTATCTAATTTTTTTTTTTTATGATTATGAGGAATAAATTAATTTAATTAATTATGATACATAATAAATTGATAATAATATAATACATATTTTTAATATTTAGTTTTATTTATTTATTAATAGATAAAAATAAATAAATATAAGATGCTAGAGTAAAAGGAACATGTTGATTAAGGAAAGTATAAATAAAGAAAATATATATTTTTATTACTCTCATGATTTTATTAGATAATAATAATAAAATAATAATAATAATAATTTCAGTATAAATACATAAAAAAAACTATATGGTAATGTTTGCAAATTAAAATATTTTTTTATTATTATATAAACAAAGTACTTTTTTTAAAAATATCATACATATTGAAACAATAATGTGAAAATAAAATTTTTAAAATTGAGCATTTTCTAGAGTTAATTAAATTAATTTATAATATTTGATAGATTAAAAAATTATTTATAATAATATTAAGAAATTAATTTTAAATAGCATAAAATTTATTATTTTTAAAATCTAAAAATAAAATTTGTATTATTTATGATCTCATGAAAATATTCATTATTATAAAATTTTAAAATAAATAATTATAGCAATAATTTATTAAATATAACAAATTTTTTTCAATGAGTTATAAAATTTAAATAAAATACCCTATAATTTTTTACTTATACATTTGTATATATTTATTGAACTAAATTTATATGATACATCATTCATTTATAATTATAATTTAAAATTGCTAATAGAATTTTTACTGTATGATTATTAAAAGATATAATATTTTTTAAAAAATAACTCATCAAACTAATAATAATAATAATAATAATAATAAAAGTAATAAATGTAACAAATAAGTTAAAAACAAAAAACAAAAAGTATATTTATATAACAAATATATGAAAATTTAAAATTATATATAAAACTATATATTAATACTTAAAAATAAAAATATATTAATTTTTTTTATATAAATAAAATTACTATATAAAAATATTATAAATAAAAAATAATATTACAATATTCTTAATTTATAAGTATAGTTGTTAATTAACAAAAACAAAAAATATATAGAATTAAGTTTTTTTAAACATATTAAATTATTCTATATTGCTTGATAATTTAATAGAATTATTATTTATTAACATTATAAATAATTTAATTTTATTAAATAACTAATTAAGTATAATAAAGTTATGTTGTGTGGATCATAAAATTAAAATAATAAATTTATTAATTTTTATTAAGCATTTGTTTCAATTTTTAAAATAATTAATATGATTTGTTAATCATTTGTCATTTTAATTAAGATCAATGAAAATAAATTGAACTATAAAGTAATTTATTAATATAATAATATTTTTTTAAAAATTTCAAAATAAAAAAATATTAATGTAAATAAAATTTAATAAAAATTTAAAATGCTAGATGAAAAGAAATATATAGATTAAATTAAAAATAATTAAAAAATGTACAGTTCATAACTATTTAAAAAATATATAAATATAATTTCAATATAAATGCATTAAAATATTATACCATCATAAAAAGAAGATATATTTTAACTATTTTGATACAAATATGTGGATGAATTTAAGATTTAATGATTATTTTCACATATATTTTATGTGTGATGTTGTGTTTGTCTCTATGGCCTAATATTCGTTACTTTACCTAATTCTAAAAAAAAACAAATATCAATAATCAGTGTAGCAAATTTAAATAATTTTTTAAATTAAAAATTATATAATTTTAAAAATATAATATAATAAATAATTATACTAATAAAAAATATATTAGTATTGATTTATTTTTTTACATATAATACTTGTATTTTACTTTATATCTTGGAAATTAATTATAAGTCCATAAAATAACTAAATTTTTCTAGTAGGAAGCATTGTTTTTGCATTTGTGATTGAATGCTCTCAAAAAAATTTTTAAAAGCATTAGAACTTCTATTCCAATTTAAAAATTTTGAATAATCATATAGTTAGAATATTAAATGTTAATAAATAAATAAAACTTGATATGTTAATATAGAGAATATTTTTATAATATTATAAAGAGTAACCTCTACTTTTCTCAGATTATAAGTCTTTATATAGTTGTGAAGATTTAAACTTAATATTTAAAAAATTTTAAACATATATAAAGAAAAATGTTTAAATGTGAAGAAAAGTTTATAGGAGTAAAAAGTTCTAATTAACTTTTGAAATAAGTGATACATATAGAAATTAAATACAATAGTCAAACTCAATTTAGAGTTAAAACATTATATGATTTGTACTAACAGAATTCAGCTATTATTGGACAATACTTATGATAATTATGATATATAAAATTATTGCAAAGAAAACTCCATTAATTATGGCACAACTGAAGGAGAGACGTTGGAGAATTAAAGGAGTTGTTGTAACACCTTATTTCAATATTCATTAAATAATAATTTCGCAATTTCGGGATAATAAAAGTTCCATTTCAAATAAAGTTCTCAACCATGGTTTCATCAAATATTTCAAAATAAGAAAAAGGGGTTACAATCTTCATCAAGTACTACTATAGGACCTTTTTTAAATACATTATTTTCAAATTTATATCTTAGTCCTATAGCAGTTCCATCCACCCCTTTTACTGAGTTTGGTGATTGTCTTGGTTACCTGAAAAATGAATGTAAGGGTGAGTACTCTACACTATCCAAAAACACACAGTTAGCATAGAGTCTCACCTCCAGCACATTTTCAATATATTAAACAAATACAATCACAGGCAACATTTCACATCCATAAGTATAAGTCATAAACCCATGCATATGCACGCCAGCCACACTCATTGTGGCACTGTGATCACAGATTTACACTATGAATGGTCGCTGGTTACCCCGCCTCACAGATACTACGTGGGCAGTCACGGGTCGCTCAGCAAAGATAGTGGTCAAAGGTCTAGTCAGGAAGAGAGTGTGTGGCCCGTGGTGCACCCGTTCCACAGTCGATGTCACCACCACTCTCTCTTCTCCAAGGTATTTCTACCGTCCTCATCTTCCACACCCCAGTGTATCGCTGAACCATTCACAACACATTACAATGGCGCTAACACGCCTCATTCACATACATTTCATTCACACTACACGACACATAGATCACATTTTATCCACAATATACGTCACATAGCCTTCATTTATTCATAATATCATTAAGTCACCAATCATTGGCATTCCATCATACACAATTTCCCCCATGGGGCCTAACTATTCTAGCACACATCACATTGCACACCAATTTCTATCAAACACACGATTTCTACTCCCTATCTCAGCCAAATTGCCTTAATTAACAAAACACACAAGAGTTACAACACATTTGAGATAGGTAGAGTACCTCGGATTGAAGACTCACACTCGAATTTGACCATGGACGTGCTTCCTACACAGATTGTGGCCTCCAAGCATTCCCCACACGAATTTAACCTTCAATCAAGCTTCCGAACGATTTTGTAGGCAATATAATCAGTAGAAAAAAGTTTGGGAATGAGAGGATCAAAGGGAATTCAAAGGGAGAGGGAGAAATAACCCTCCCCGAATCCTAACCCCCTTTAAATCCTTTTTTGGTTGCAACACTCTCGCTACAACGAGATCTCGCTGTAGCGACACGCCCTCACGCTGTAGCGAAAATATCAGACGAAATTGCACTCTGATTTCTGCAGAATCTCGCTACAGCAAGACCCTCTCGCATCAATGAGACTGCATCCAGAAATGCACCTCAAACTGTCACTCTCTCGTTACAGTGAGACGTCTCTCGCTACAGCGAGAAGGTGACAGTTTCAGCCCTTCCTTCCAAGGCCCTCTGGCTACAGCGAGAATCCTCTTGCTGCATCAAGGACAACCCAGAATTACACTCT